TGTGTATATATCTACATATGGGTATGCATGTGCATGTGAGTGCAGGTGCCAGAAAAGGCCAGAAGAGGGTGTCAGATGCCCTGGGACTGGAGTTTGAGCAATTGTGGGTTGCCTGATGTGGGTGCTGGGGCTGGAACTCCAGTCATTTGGAAGAGCAGCAAGAACTCAAACACTGAGATATCTCTCAGCTCTGGGCTGCTCTCATTCAAGCAAAAAATATTTGGGGGGGTGGGAAATGAAGGGTATGTCATCTTCACCCCTTAAAGGACCCCAGCCAGCCCCTCTGGTCCAACAGGCTAGGACTTGCATTTTTAGCCCTTCCCTAGGCTGGGAATCCACTTGTCTAGCTCCAACCTTGAAGGAGTCATGGCCTCCACTGGAGGATGGACTGCCTAGGCCCCTTCCCTGGCTCAGCTTTTTGCCTAGGTGAGACACAGGCCTTGCTCAAGACACTTTGGGAGGAGGTAGGGCCTCCTCTGCTGCCTCCCTGGAGCACCAGAGGAGCTGGCTGGCAGCCTACTGTCCTTCCCAAAGTGCAAGAGGGAACCCAGGTATGCTGTGTGACTCAAAGGGCTGGGACCTTACCAAGCTGCCTCTTCTCTGTAAAACCATGCTTTCTTCTGCCTTCAGTGCCAGGGGGTGCCAATCATACTGACTGCACTGAGAAACATGCCAAAGAGTTGCTCAGCATAATAATAAATGGGGGAACCCCCTTTGCCCACACTCAGGCTAGCCTAGCAGTTCTATACAAGCATCCCCTGTCCCTCTCCATGAAAGAAGAGCTGACAAGAATAAGGGGCCTTTGGAAGGCATCACATCTTTTCTCTCCTCCAAATGGGGTCTTCTCTCATTCATTAAGGAGTATGAAGCCAATCCATCTACACTTTCCCAGTTCTGACCCTAATCATTCCAATACCCTGGTCATGGATATGAATAAGGTGGGACTACATGGAGTCACAGGCCTCATCCTGTGTACAGGGCCCTGATTGAGGAGACAAAGGGAATAAGGTCCTTAAGATCCAAGCCTTGTTTTACTTACTAAGCCATGTGACTTGGCATGGGTCTATAATAATGGAGGGTGTCACAATGCTCTATGGTAAGCTGCAGCCCTAGGATTATAGACACACACACACACACACACACACACACACACACACACACACACACACACACACACACACACACACAGTGAATGTATAAGCTACTCATATATAAATAAATGGTGCTTGAGGAAAATGAGACATACCATACATATCCAAGGTTGTGCTATGACCTGCCTATTCCCTCCCTCAGGTACTCCTATGCATTGAGTGCAAATGGATGGTACAGCGCCCTCATGGTGCCTGCTGGCAGTAAAACTGCCCCTGATTTTCCCCGCTGCTCTGGCTCCCAGGTCAGTCTCTGCTAGCAGCAGGCCCAGGATGGAGCAGGGTGAGGATGGTGTGCTTTGGCCTGGGGTTCCTAGCTTCTTTTCATGTTGAGGAATTCGTGCCTTGTGCAACCTTTTCAGGACTACCTGAGATAGTAGGGTGGTGAGCAGAGGGCAGCCTGGCAGGGGATGTTCCCCCTATTTCCACAGACTGTGGTTGGAACTCTGGCACCAGGAGTCTAGGGTTCTGCCTTGAGTCACAGGCAGTGATGGCTGCCTGATTCACCATGGGGCCTCCCAGCCCAGCGGGGAGGGGGTGTCTGGGAAAGGCGCATCTCTGGGCAAAGACTACAAGAAGCATCATGTATGGGTTCTATGTTTGAGCTTATGAGCTGGCTTTCATGTAAATAAGATCCCTTAAGCTCAGTGTCTGTAGGCAAGAGTATGATTATGAGCTGAGGAACCTGTATGTACATATATGTATATACATGTATGTACCTGTACAACTGTGAACCTATTCTGTGTATTACTAAACCTCATCTCTAAGACTGAGACTCCTTTGCCTTTTTCTTTCTCTAATTTTTTTTTCTTTTTTGTTTTTTTGTTTTTTGAGAACATCTCCCTAACCCCAGCTGGTCTGGAACTGCCTATAAAGACCAGGCTGGCCTTGAACTCACAGAGATCCTCTTGCCTCTGCCTCCTGAGTGCTGGGATTAAAGACATGCACTACCAAGTCCGGCATTTTCTTTCCATCATCTATCTATCTATCTATCTATCTATCTATCTATCTATCTATCTATCATCTATCTATCTATCTATCTACCTATCTATCTATCATCTATTTATCTATCTACCTATCTATCTATGTATCATGTGCCTGTCTGTCTATCATCTATCAATCTATTTATCATCTAGCCATCTATGTACCTAGCTACCTATCCACCTATGAATATCCACCTGTGAATAACCTATCTACCTACCTACCTATCATCTATCTTCTATCTCTGACTATGATCTAACCATCCACCCATCCACCCTTCCATCCACCCACTCAGTTTTCTATGTATCTATTTTTTTTGTTTTTGTTTTGTCTTTTTGAGACAAGGTCTCCCTGTAGCCCCAGGTGTCCTGGAATTCACTATGTAGACCAGGCAGGCCTTGAACTTACAGAGATCTGCCAGCCTCTGCCTCCAAGAGCCTGGGATAAAGGCGTGTTCTACCACACCCAGCACTTTACATTCATTTATTTATGGTAGAGCGTGCACCCTGGTACATATGTGAAGTCAGAGGACAGCTCTGAGAACTCAAGAGTCAGTTCTCCTTTTCACCATGTGGGTCCAGAGACTTGAACTCAGATCATCAGGCTCAGGGATAAGTGCTCTTACCTGCTGATCCATCTCAGTACCTTTTTTTTTTTTTTTTTTTAGGGAAGGTCTCACATAGCCCAGGATGGGCTCTTACTTGATATGTAGCCAAGAATGACCTTGAACTCCTAATCTTCCTGTCTCTATCTCCTAAATGCTGGGATTATAGGCATTCCTCACCATACTCTGCACATGGTAATCCTTGTTTTTGACAGCCATTCTTTAAGGGACAAGACCCCAGAGCCCTTAGTCCACTCAGTTAATATTAAGACCTTCTGGAAAACAGTTTCTTTGGTCTTCCCTGGCAATGAATGCTTCCATACAGACTGGGGGTGAAAATACTCTTTTCTCCCAACCCTATGAGAGCAGAGCTAAGGCCACTAGCCCTGTCTCTAGATGATTCTTTTATTATTATTATGTTTTTTGGTGCCAGGGATCAAACTCAGGTAAGTATTTCTACCATTGAATGACACCATAGGTCCAATTTCCTATTAAATACATTAGGATGGATATGGTGGTACATGACTCTAATTCCAGCACTAGGCAGGAAGCTTAGGTAGGAGGTTTGCTAAGAAGTGGAGGCTAGCCTGGACTATATAGTGAGTTCAAGTACAATTTGGGCTACATAGTCTTTGAGACTGTGTCTCAAAGACAAAGAAAAATCCCAAAATAACAAGTAAATAAATACAGCCTTGGGTGTGGGGATATAGCTCAAAGGTAGAATAACGTGCTTAGCATGCCATGCTCCAGCATCTGGCTTTTAATCCTCAGCACTGAAGTTCAGCATTGAGAAAAAGTTGCCCTGTGATGCCCCTCTGGTTGATGGAGCTGGCATTTGCACAATTCGGTCAGCTTAATCTCTTTCTCTCTTCATGTTTTTTTTTTTTTTTCCTGAGACAGAGTCTCATGTCTGACCTCAAACTTACTATGTAGGTGGACCTAGACTTGAACTCCTGGTCCTCCTGCCACCTCCAGAATTGGGATTATAGGCCTGCCTACCAAACCTGGCTCCCACACCCCCTCCCTTTTTTACAGTACTGGAGATTGATAGAAAGCCTCACATCTGCCAGGCAAGTGCTGTACTACTGAACTACTTCCCCCAGGTATTTTTGAGACAGGGTGTCAATAAGTTGCCCAGGCTGTCCTTGAACTCACTTTGTATCCAGGCAGGTCTCAAACTTGGGATCCTCCGGCCTCAGCCTCCCAAATAGCTGGCAAACTTTCTCTTCAAGACAAGGTCTTGGAGGCTGGAGAAGAGGCTCAGCAGTTAAGAGCACTGGCTACTCTTACAAAGGACCCAGGTTCAGTTCCCAGCATCCACATGGCAGTTAACAACTGTACATAACTCCAGTTCTAGGGGATCTGACACCCTCTTCTGCCTGTACCACATACAAACAAAACGTTCATATACATATAAAAAATAAATAAATACATGGTCTTATAGAGAAAAATAACAACAACAAAAAACCAAGGTCTTATGTTGGGCTTGGTGGTGCACTCAGAAGGCAGAGGCAGGCAGATCACTGTGAGATCCAAGCCAGCCTAGTCTAAAATGTGAGTTCTAGGCCAGCTGGGGCTAGGAGATCCTGTATTAAAAAGGTCTTATGTAGCGCAGCATAAGCTGATTTCCTGCCTCAGTCTCCTGAGTGCTGGGATTGCAGGTATGTGCCATGATACATGGCTCCAGCTTAATCTCCTTAAAAATTATTATTGTGCATGTATATGATTATGTGTGGACACATACACCACTTTGCATGTGTGGAAATCAGAGGACAGCTTTGTGGAGTTGGCTCTCCCCTTCCACCTTTATGTGGAGATTGAATGCAAGTCATCAGGCTGGCATGGCAAACACTTTAGCTGCTGAACCATCTCTTGGCCCCAGCTTAATCACTTAAAGGGCTAGATTTCTTTGTCAGGAGATCAGGCACAGTGGGAAAGGTGAGAGTTAAAAAGAGCTGGAAGTAACCCTGCTGGCATGATGTGGCATATGGCATGTCAGGACAATTGAAACAGAGCTATGTGAACAGTGCACACAGGCCCACAAGTGAAAGTCCAGTTACCCTAGTTATGTTCAACAGGCATGTGCACAACCAGGCACACAGGACAAACAGCATGTGGAAATAGCTTTGGACATAACTGGCCAACACATGCAACATGTGACATGTCACATGTTCCTAGGGCTTAGGGAGGGCTAGTGAACTCTGACTGGCACTCAGCACCCAGGTGCCCAGTAGGGTAAGGACTGTAAGATGGTTTCTTTCCATCTGGGGCCCACAGCCTCCTCTTTTCAGCTGCCTGACTGAGAACGTGACTGAGAAGTCAGCCAGCAGGTTCCTTTCCCTTCTGAGGACAGGTAGGAAGGCCCCCGGCTGGAGTGATGGGATGCCCGCAGGGCTCAGTGTGAATGGGCCCTAGGGGTCTCCCGTTTCTAGAGGTCCTTTTGTTCTCATTGTATTTTCCCCATGCCCTGCAATCCTCTCTCAGCCCCTAACTTCCCACCTCTAAGTGCCCCCAGGGCCATACCACCCTCGAACCTTCTCCAGACCGTCCATTCCAGCTCTTACACCCAGAGTCCCCACTAGCGCCCTAGGCTAGGCGGCGGGTGGTGGCCGCTACTCCGCCCCCGCAGGGCTGGGCGGGCGGGGCCGGTGGGCGGAGCCGACCTCCCGGGTGCCTATAAATTGCGCCAGGGCTCGGGGCTGCTGCTCACGGTGCCTGTTGCACTCCATTTCCCGCCTGACCGCCGCCACCTGCTCCTGCCATGAGTCGACAGAAGGAGCTGATGAACCGCTGTGGGGAGATGCTGCACATCCGCTACCGGCTGCTTCGCCAGGCGTTGGCGGAGTGCCTGGGGACCCTCATCCTCGTGGTGAGTGGAGGGAATCGGGCAGCCCTTCTCCCTCAAGTCCCTGTGCGCCCCAATTCCTTATTTACCCGAGGGGCTGTTTCAAGACAGCCTGGACCAGTCTGGGCTCTGCCCCCTAGATTTAACCCCTAGGGTCAAGCTGACCTCCAAAGCCCTCTTCCCCACAGTCCAAACCCAATCCCTGACAGCTCTGGCTCTTGTGCGAATGACAGCTGTTAGTCACCAGGGACAGCTCTGCTCTTCTGCCTTTCCACTGGTGACCTAGTCCACAGGCTGCGGAAAGGGTCGCCCCTGCAGTGTGGAAATTTCAGCTCCTACTGCTTCCCACAGTCCTGCAGTTTTCCAGAGCCCCACCCCCAGGAAGCAATGGAGGCAGAGACAAATGGACCCCTATTAGGTTATTTGGGTCCTGGGTGTCCGGGCCCCTAATGAATAATTAAGCCTCAGAAAGTCCAAAAGTTGCAGCGAAGTGAGGACTGTTTGCCCCAGGTGGGGGCAGAGTGCGCAGGCTGTGAAGAGAGGTGGGAAGAAAGGAATATCATGAAGAAAGACTGGAAGGAAACAGGCCCTTACCAGGCCCGCCCTAAATCAGTTCACCCACCTGCGTCTTCAGACCCTAGGTCACCCACATGATACCAACTTCTGTGCAGATCGGGCTCCCTGAATGAGAGGCCTTCCTTCCGTTAGTCCTTAGTTACATCAGTTTTACTCTGAGTTGTTCCTGGGTGACTCTATGTGTACTCCTTGGTGTATTTCCTGTCCCGGTTTCTCTGAAATTCAGCCATTGATGTGGCTATACTTGTTTTCCCCTGTTTTTTTCTTTTCTTTTCTTTTCTTTTCTTTTCTTTTCTGAATTCAGTTGTTCATTGCAGTTGAGTGGATTACTTGAGTTTCGTAGCAGCCCCATTCCTAGGAAATATAGATCAGTAAAAGGGCAAGTAGAGCTGATGGTGGTGGAGCAGTCCCCACGGGGAGAAGAGGGCCCAGACTTGCCTCTGAGTTCATAGACTAGTGGCCCTATCAGCTGTCCCCATTCTCTCCCCTCTGCCAAGAAGGGAGTGGAGGGAGGCATTTATCAGCTTCCTACCTCCCCCCTGCTTCCTATCTTGATTCATAAGTCCAGCCACCTGTTTTGGAGCAGCCAGGAGAAGGGAGGATGTCTTCTACTTTCATAGAGGGGCCTTCTTATCCCTTTCAAAGTCTCAGATCCACTCCTCTAGGAAAAGAACAGTCTACATTGAGCCCCAGGATCACAGCCCCAGACCATAAAAAGGGTGCTGGATTTGTGGTGAAGTCTTCAGACTCAGGTAGATGTGAGCTATCAGGTGTCAGGGGAAAGCAGAGCCTCAAGGGCTGACCAAACAGAAGGGGCCAGGTCTGGGGAATCATATAGACCTATGCAAGCAGGCCCTCACCCACCAGAGGGGATCCCCCAGATCTGAAGGCCTGCTTGTATTGGTCTTTGTTGGGGACCTAGAACCTTGTAGTGGCAGAAGACAGGTTGGCTCCAGGGTGAGGGAAGCCCCTTTGTGGTAGGTACCTTATGGGGGGGCTGGCCAAGAACCTGGGGTTAGGGGGTAGAGAAGGAAGAGGAAGATTAGCCCCAAGGTGGTGGAACTGGCTCTGACAACTCCTCCCTTCAAGGCCTCTTGGCATAGAACCAGCTCTGGGCCTCGCTGGGCAGAATGCCCCAGATTTCCACATGCCCCGCTCCATACTCTCACAATCTCTGATCTTTGCTCTCACCTGCCCGCACACCTTTGTCCTGCATCACTACCACTGGCTTCTCCTGTGTCCTCATCTTTCTGAGTGATGATAATCAGTTCCTAACAACTCAGTACACAGGCACTGATCCATTCAAATGGAGCACAGCTTCAGAAACTGCCTGCTGGGACAGCATAGCACCTTTCCTTACAGAAAAGTGGGAGAGGAGACAGGAGCAACTTTGGGGGCACTAGAGGGTCAGGGCAACAGCTTTTTAAAAATTTTATTTATTATTTTTATTTTATGTATATGCATGTATTGCCTGCATGTATGTAAGTACACCCATGTTGTGCAATGGCCACAGAGGACAGAAGAGGTCATCAGATCCCCTGGAACTGGAGTTACAGCAGTTGTTAGCTGCCATGTGGTGCTGGGATTCGAACCTGGGTCTTCTGCAAGAACAGTCAGTGTTCTTAACCGCTGAGCCATCTCTCCAGCCCTAGGGCAATAGCTAGCTTTTTATTTTCACGTTTGAACATATAGCATGTCTTGTACTTGCAGAACATCAGGAACTCTAATCCCTCTTAGTCCCTCCAACCAAAGTAGAAAGTTTCTAACTGATTTTATTTCCTCACCTTGTGTTTAGGACTCTGCATATCCAGGAGGGAAACCTGGACCCCTGAGGCCAGGGCAGGTAGAGAGGGGAGGTGCAGAGACTGAGGCAAATCTAGGAGAATGAGGATGCTGAGGACCATGATGAGGGCCAGGTGCTCAGATATCCTTGACTTAAGAGAAGCAGATTCAGCCTTACTTTTGTCATCTTCCCATTCTGTGTCCCTCATCACCTCCACTATGACCTGAGCTCTTTGGAACAGTGGGGCTGAGGGTAAAGGAGTGCTTCCTAGTTCCATGAGCCAGGCCTGAAGGACAGGGGCAGAAACTGCTTCAGAGATAGCCCCCTATTCCCTTCTGAGATTCAAGAAAAATGAATGAAAATGATTCAGTGGTCTTCTGGGCTCCCAGTCATAGACCTGCTTCCAGGCTCTTCCATAGGACCCTGCTGTGGAGCCTAAATGGATAAAGGGCATTCCTTCTTTTTCTGGGGCATGTATTCAACTGCAGCATAAAGGATTTGGGTTACATTCCAGGGAGGACCTTCAGCATTAGTGGCAGGCAGGCAAAGGTACTGGCTTCCCCTTCCCCTTCTGTCTAGTGTGAGAGTTGCTGAGCCTCAATAGGACCTCATTTGTTCTGTTTTCTCACACAGATGTTTGGATGTGGCTCCGTGGCCCAGGTGGTGCTCAGTAGGGGCACCCATGGCGGTTTCCTCACGATCAACTTGGCCTTTGGTTTTGCTGTTACCCTTGCCATCCTTGTGGCTGGCCAGGTGTCTGGTAAGGCCTTAACCCTACCCCCAGTCCTCAGCAGCATTTCTAACGAATGTCCCTCTGAGGAGCAGCGAGGGAGCATTCCCAAGTGTAGGTCCTAACAGTTTCTCAGCTTTGGGCCCTTGGGAGACAAGGGTGGAAGAGACTTGACAGAACCTTTGACTCTCACCTTGGAATCAGATTATCAGAGCCAGCCTGTGACATAGTCCAACTGCCATCCTGGCCAAGAAGCCTTCCTGCACCCTAGAGAAGAGGAGCATGTGGGGCTATGGCTAATAGGTTCTATCTTCTCTCCCCAGGAGCCCACCTGAACCCTGCGGTGACCTTTGCCATGTGTTTCCTGGCACGTGAGCCCTGGATCAAGCTGCCCATCTATGCACTGGCTCAGACGTTGGGAGCCTTTTTGGGTGCTGGGATCGTTTTTGGGCTGTACTATGGTAAGTCTTCTCCACCCTGCCCTTCTCCACTGCACTCTCCCTCTTTCTGGACTTCTTGGCACCAAGCCTGTTAATGACAGACAGCTGGGGCCTGCCCAGGCCCTGGGCTCATGACTCAGTCATTCACATGCAGGCCCCAGATGGGGGACACAAAAGGAAAGAAACAAGTTGGGCAACAACAGAATCTCAGACTCTCCACCCTACCCCACCCCACCCCCTGTGCCTCCAGAGTAGTATGCTCACCCATGACCCCTGGGAGGGTGGGGAGAACAGGCCTGAGAGGGGAGACTCTGCCCTTACTCACTCTGGGTCTAATCTGTCACCAGATGCAATCTGGGGCTTTGCCAACAACGAACTTATCGTCTCCGGCCCCAATGGCACAGCTGGCATCTTTGCTACCTACCCTTCTGGACACTTGGACACGGTCAATGGCTTCTTTGATCAGGTATGGGATGGAAGCATTTGAGGGGAATGTACGAGGGAGGACCAGGCTGGCTGGGGGCTAGTACTCCTTGATTGTAGTAGGATCTCTCAATTGGGCAGGTGACCTCAACCTCAGAACATGATGGCAGGCCCTTATAAATCATGCAGCTTTCCAGTGCCGGGCATAGTGGTGCACACCTTTAGTCCCAGTACTTGGGAGGCAGAGGCAGGCGGATCTCTGTGAGTTCAAGGCCAGCCTGGTCTACATAGTGAGTTCCAGGCCAGCTGGGACTACAGGGAGACCCCGTCTCAAAAACATCAAAAAATAAAATAAATCATGTAGCTTTCCAACAAATTCTTGTGCTTACAAACATCCTAGCACCCCTACTTTAGAGACCAAGGTGAAACAGGAAGGGAAAGCTCAGAGGGCAGGGGAGGGAGTTGGCCCTTACCCTGTTCTCCTCATTCCCCAGTTTATAGGCACAGCCTCCCTCATTGTGTGTGTGCTGGCCATTGTTGACCCCTACAACAACCCTGTCCCCCGTGGCCTGGAGGCCTTCACTGTGGGCCTTGTGGTCCTGGTCATTGGCACCTCCATGGGCTTCAACTCCGGCTATGCTGTCAATCCTGCCCGTGACTTTGGCCCTCGTCTTTTCACTGCCCTGGCTGGCTGGGGCTCAGAAGTCTTCACGTGAGTATAGCCCCCACCCAGCTTATGTAGCCCGCTTTTTCAATGCCTGCCCTACCCACCTCTGACCACCTATATCTGCTGCCCTCCAGGACTGGCAAACACTGGTGGTGGGTACCTATCGTCTCCCCACTTCTGGGGTCCATTGCTGGTGTCTTCGTGTACCAGCTTATGATCGGTTGTCACCTGGAGCAGCCCCCACCCTCCACTGAGGCAGAGAATGTGAAGCTGGCCCACATGAAGCACAAGGAACAGATCTGAGTGGGCAGCAACCATCCCCCACTGCTTGCTCTCTTGAACATCCATTGACTGTGTGGGCCACTCCTTAAAAGCCCCCTTATGATCCTTCTCACAGGCTAAGAAGCTCTCTGTCGACCCCATCCTACTGGATGGCCCCCTCCAGGATTTCCACTAGACTCTGTCCATTAGGACTTTAGGCCCCCACCCTTAAGCAGTGGTGGGGTGTCAGTAGGACCAGACATCCTTTTTGTTTCCCAAAGGAAGAGACTGTGCAGTGGTTTTTTGTGTGTGTGCATGTGTGTATGTGCATGGTTTCCCAGACACTCAGGGCAAGGGACCAAGTTTTCAAAAAGGATCTCAGCAGTTCAAGGGAGCCAGGGGAAAGGGAGAAGGTGATAACATCCAATTGTGAGTGAGGAAAGCACCAGAGTGTGTTTTTCTCTACCCTTTGGGAAGGGAGTTGGGACAAGGGGGTGCCACAGCTCACTTATGGAGCTACGGGATCCCTGAGCAAGAGCTATATAAGGTGTTTCTCTTTCTAAGGTAGGCATTGGGAGAGGGATGAAGTCCAGGTCGTAAGTTTCATGTTTTCTGGGTTTTGTTTTTGTTTTTATTTTTTTAAAAAATACAAGTATGTATAGAGAGATGTTACAGTCTTAGGGATAGAGGTAGGTGACTCTGCTTCAAAAAGGGTTTTCCTCCCTTTAGCCCTCTACTCAACAATGTACTCTTGCCTTTTATAAAAAAATAAAATAAAATGTATGCTAAAGCTTGCCTTTTATAAAAAAATAAAATAAAATGTATGCCAAAGCAGTCAATTTTACAAATATCTGCTTGTTTTTCTGGGATCAGTATTAGAGCTTTTGTGTCTAATTTCAGCTTGTATTCAGTGCTCCCCAGTTCTCATCTTCCTGGGTACCTTCCTGGTTCCTGCATCTCACACCACCCCAGGAAGGAAGGCTTGAAGCCCTAACCCAGGCAGAACTGCCCAATGAACTGAGGGGGTAAGTCCCCTGAGTCTTGAAGAGATCAGACTGGGGACCTGTATTGTCCCGTGTAGGCCACAACTGTTTGAGATCCATTCAGACTTCACTATGACCCCCTTAGCAGCCTGCCACAGAGGTCCTTGGGGATACCCCGGGCTCAATCATAGGGCTTTTTCATCGTTCTCCCTCTGCATCTGAGAACAGTCTAAAAGTGTTGTATCTGCATCTAAGTTCTCTAGGGCCTCTGTCCTTAACCACAGCATCCCAATGCTTTCCTCCTACCCCTGCCTTCTTTATGGGCCCCTGGGCTTTCCTACTTCAGGAAGTTGAAGGTTCAACTTCCACCTTTTAGCATCCTGATCTGTTTTAGAACCTCTTCCTAGGAAGTAGGTTATTCTTACTCGGCTCCATTTTGCCCATCTAAAGTCATTTACTTAAACCAAGAAACCACTGTTGTGTTTATCCCAGTCCTTTTCTGTCTCATCATTCTAAGGCATGTCTGTGCCCAGTAAAACACGAATTGTATGACCAGTGCTGGCACTCAGGATGCCAAGGGCCTGGTACACCTGAGCCCAGGAAGCCCTTCTCATTTCTGCCTTCCATGTGCCCCAGCGCCTTCACAGACCCAGACAGGGTAGATGGTGTATTTAAAGCCACACAGCCAGGACTGTTGCTGGCGGGGAGGGAGGGGTAAGGGATGGAAGAAAGCAGTTCCTCCTTGGGTCTTTACCCTTTCCCTGTCTCCAACTCCCAAAAGGTGTGTCTGGAATGCTGGAGGGACCTGAGCCAGAGGGAGTGTCCCCTTCCCAGACCCAGACCCTGGGGAGAAGGGTAAAATTTAGGATGGAATGTGGCTTCAGTTTCATTCCAGTCACACTAGTCCCTCCTTGGGGCCCCTTCAACCCATAATCCTGCCCCTGCAGTCCTGCTTTTCAGATCCCACAGTTATCCTGACCAGTAGGAGACCTTTGGATGTCATGGCTGCAAAAAGAGTGGAACCTAGATTTAATGCCTGTGATGGCCTCTCTCTTTGAGTATGGGACTTCAGTTTTATTATCTGTGACACTCAGGTTAATAAGAGGAGAGAATAAAGGAAGATAATTATAAAAAGGGCTTAATGAAGGCTGACAAGGTGGCTCAGTGAGTAAAGGTACCTGCCACCAAGCCTGAGAATCTGAGTTGGATCCTTGGACTCCACATGGTAGAAAGAACCAATTCCCATAAGCTGTCTTCTGAACTCCACATGCATACCCCTGGTGTGTGCCTATGCACACATATACACAATAAATAAATAAATAAATAAATAATAAATAAATAAGTAAATAAAAAGAACCAGACATAGTGGCACACATCTTTAATCCCAGCACTCAGAAGGCAGAGGCAGGAGGATCTCTGTGAATTTGAGGCCAGCATGGTCTACATAGCAAGTTCCAAGCCAGCCAAGACTACATAGGGTGACCCTGTCTCCAAAAACAAAACAAGGGGCTGGAGAGATGGCTCAGCAGTTAAGAGCACTCGTTATTCCTGCAGAAGACCTGGGTTTGAATCCCAGCACCCACATGGCAACTAACAACTGTCCATAACTCCAGTTCCAGGGGATCCGACAGCCTCTTCTGTCTTCTGTGGGCATTTCATGACTTGGTTGCACTTACCTACACACATACACATAAAATAAAATTAAAAATAGGCAGAATCTGAACTAATAACTTTTAACCTTGTAACCAAAACCTATAAAGTCTGTGAACCATGTGTTCTTGTGACCTTGTGACCTGGGAGCCTCAATTTGCTACTCCACCCCAGGATAGGGAATGAATGTGGGTATGCTTGAGAATTAACATACCGAAGTGCCGAAAGACAGTGTATATCTTCACTGAAAACAATGAAGCTTGTACTGAGTGAAGGCTGTTTATAAAAGGTCATCAAATTTGGGGGCTGGAGAGATAGCTCAGCGGTTAAGAACACTGGTTGTTCTTGCAGAAGACCCGGGTTCAAATCCCAGAACCCACATGGCAGCCAACAACTGTCCGTAACTCCAGTTTCAGGGGATTCAACAGCCTTTTCTGTCCTCTAAAGGCACCATTTACCTACATGCAGGCAATACACGCATACACATAAAATAAAAAAATTAAAAATTAAAATACTAAAAAAGGTCATCAAATTCAATAAACATCTAGGTCAGATTCCTTCCATCATTCTGGATTTCCTGAGAGGGGAGGGTATGGTGGCTTGCTCTTGTGTTCTCTGACTCTATAAGGATCTTGGGAGGAATAGCTCTCAGCAGACCTCCAGAGAGTGCCGGGTTTTGGCCTCCCTCTGGCATAGGTGCTGAGAATGCAGGGGACTGACTGAGACTACCTGGATCCTGCCTCCACGTGGTGATAAGAGTTACACAATTTGGGAGTCTTTTAGATAGACCCACTGAAGGGGTACTCCAGTTGCCTCACCCTGTATCCCTGGTCAGCATGGAAGAAGTCAGAGCGGTCTATGCTCCGATTCTGCAAGCTGGGTAACCTCTTCAGAGGATGGTGTCATAATAGGAGGTAAGAATTGGCTAGGCAGTTAGTGTAAAAAGACCCCCCAGAAAAGTAGCCAGCTTCTTGGCTAAAAGTCAAAATGTCCTTGGGTCTCTTAGCAACATACTCCATTCCAAAGGCCAAAAATGTTGAAAGTATTTGGGAGCTCTTATCTAATCCTTAAAAGATTTTAAGGCTACCTCTTCAGAGGGGGGAATGTTAGAGTAGCAAAAAGCCCCATTAAAAAAAAAAAGAAGAAGAAAGAGTTCATGAAATTATCAGAAAAAAAGTGATGGGGAGATATGGGAGGAGTTAGAGGGGAGGGAGTGGGCATGGATTTGATCAAAACACCTTATATGCTTATATGTCTGTATGAAATTCTCAAGAGAGCCTCAATTACAGGTGTGGAAGGTGGAGGAGACTGTGGCTCAGGAAAACACATTGGGTGGAGTGTCAGACCTGGGCAAGGCTAGGGGCATTAAGTGGGAACCAGGAGCCAGGCAGCGGCAGCAGCAGCAGCAGCAGTGTGACCCTCCCGGCTTTCCACCTCCCCACATCCCCTGCAGGCAATGCCTTCTGAATTGGCAGTATGGTTGTTAGCAAATTCTAGAAGGAAAACTCTACTTCCTATAGGAAATTATCTCCTCTATCCCACATAATTCATTTCCAGTGTAGATAGGGAGAATCACCCAATGGGAGGACAGCCGTAGCCCAGGGCTCTCCAAGGGCCCTACCTCTGTCCTTTCAGTGTCAAGCTCTGTCCACCAAAGTCATGTTTTCTTTTTTTTGGTCTTTTTGAGGCAGGGTCTCCCTACAGCCCCAGCTGACCTGGAACTTACTATGTAGACCAGGCTGGCCTTAAACTCAGAGATTTAGATCTGCCAGCCTCTGCCTCCCAAGTGCCTCCGGAGTGCTGAGATTAAAGGCCATGTTTTCTTTTCTTTGCTTTTCTTTTTAAATTTTATTTATTATTATTATTTGGTCTTTTTGAGACAGGGTCTCCCTGTAGCTCCAGATGTCCTTGAACTCACAGAGATCTGCCTGCCTCTGCTTCCCGAGTGCCGGGATTAAAAGCGTGCGCCACCCACCACGCCTGGCTATTATTTATTATTTTTATTTTATGTGTATTCATGTATTGCCTGCATGTAGGTAAGTGTACCCGTGTCCTGCAATGCTCTCAGAAATCAGAAGAGGGTGTAGGATCCCCTGGAACTGGAGTTACAGACAGTTGTTAGCTGCCATGTGGGTTCTGGGTTTCGAACCAAACCGTCTTCTGCAAGAACAATTAGTATTCTTAACTGCTGAGCCATCTCACCAGCCTCAGGCCGTGTTTTCTTAAAGTACCGATTTGCTGCAATTGAAACCAGCCTCCCTGAAACTTGAGCTTGGTTTTGTGTACCTGGCTGTGTGTCTGCATTTCCCAGTGTGGATTTCTCAGTGTTTTTGGTAGGCCTGTCTTTTTCTCAATGTTAGGTTGTCTCTCTTTGGTCTGAGTCTCTGGTTTTCTGTGTCTCTGTTACTACCTAAGTCTTCATGCATCTCTAAGTGAGCATCTTGTGGGTCATGTCTCTATATGTACCTCTGAGCCCATTTCTTGGTATTTTGTTTGTTTGGTTTTCGTTTTGTTTTTAGACAGGGTCTCCCTATGCAGCTTTGGGGCTAGCCTGGAACTCACTATGTAGACCAGGCTGGCCTCAAATTCACAGAGATCTACCTGCCTCAGCCTTGGGAGTCCTGGGATTAAACGGGTGTGCCACCACACCCTACTGAATCCATTTCTTTGTGTGCTTGGAGTTTAACCACTGGGTGCTAGTGACTCCTGCCTGCCCTTCACTCGTTTTTTGCTCCAGGGCATATCTCCTCCTTAATTCCTGGTAATGAGCTCCCTCCTGCTTGCTAACTCTCCTTGATTCGGTTTCTCTGAAAGGCTGGGTGGGGCATCACTAAGCTTGGTGAAACAGTGAGGTAAAGTTGGGTGGGGCGGGAAGGCAAGAAAAGGGCCTACTCCACCCATTATAGAGACCCCAGTGGCCAGAGACAGCACTAAGCTCCTAAGGAAGGGTCTATGAGGAAGCTGGCTGAGGCAGGGAGGAAAGAACCTATGCTTCAGATGATGCTCCTGGGCTGTGGACCCAGGGAATGCTGGAAGTGTGAAGGAAGATGACACCAAGATGCTGCCCCCCAAAACCTGAATGAAGCCTTGCCAGTAACTGCCTGAGCCCTAAGAGGGCAGAGGATGTGTGTCTCCCCAGCAGCTGGGTGGGGCCTGCTCAGCGATTCAGGGAGAGTCTCTAAGCCTGGA